CCATGTCCACTCTTTTCCTAAAATTAGGATATGAAGTTCTCATGGTGGTAAGTTTGAAGATTTCTGTCTGCTGGGTTGTAGCACCATATACTCTGATGGAGGTTGGAAGGCAGCAGTCTTGATTTTCTAAAACTTTTCAGAAAGAAACTGGTTACATGTGCATTCGACAATTCAGTCTGTGTACACAAATTGTTACACAAAATATGCAGGTTGCAGCTGTAGATTTGGCAACATTGTGTGAGATGAGCTGTGTTAGTTAACCCTTTGCCGCGGAGACTTAAAGTCCGAGCTTGGGGTAATACGTTCTTGGTGTCCCTTTAAATTTTGCTCTAAAATACTATATTTATCATAACTTTGGAACTATATGAGATATAATTAAAAAATTTTCACTGAAATCCTCTTAAAAGATGGTTTTATTATCTTACCTTATAAGATAAACGCCCTGTGTGTGAGCAGTGTAAGGATGTGGATCAGAATTTGAGCTTCGTGTATTTCACCGCCACCACCATTGTCACTCTCATTATCACTATCTCCAGTTGTCACCAACTGTGTATAATTAATGTCTATTATTGCACTGTCGGTGTCTGAACTATACTCACAGTCACTTTCATCCAAAACTTCTTCTAGAAGTGCACGTCTTTCTGCTTCTGTAAGTACGCGACTAGACGAAGAGACATCCATGATGAGAATGAGAAGGTCAGGATATTATTTTTAGATTCCCAGGTAGAACTCAATGGAATGTGGCGGTGTTGCCATATGTCCACATACAGTTATCTTTTCAGAACAAAGCAGTGCAAACCGCATTCCGCTGGCGTTATTCGTTAAAAAGTTATGGGCTACAAAAATTAAGCTTGCAGCCGACGTACACTGTACCGATATCCACTAGGGGGTATTTATGCCTCACGAATTTTCACGTCGGTCCGCGCGTAGAGGTTAAAGTAAGAAGCTTTACCTTATATTACAGCAGGAAGAAGTGTGGGTGGTGTATATTGTCAGTTGTTGATCACAGCAAGACGGTCCTCACTATTTATACTATTCTTAGACACGCTGTTTATTCACAGTAACTTTTAAGTGTAATGAATCTGGCAATTTACTTGGCATCTTCATTCATAGGAAAGATTTAGCTCAGCTTGTTCTGATTTGTTCATACAGCCAAACCTGGTAATCACCGATCAAAAAACAATCTGCATGGCAGTATTTGAACCATTGCTACACTCCATTCTACTCATACTGTGCATACAATGGAGAAATGTTATTTTGGACCATAGTACTGATCTGAAAATTTGCAAAGCATATCTTACCGATCTATCCCTCCTCCCCCTCCCGTATCCACCTGGAAGGCACCAAGATAAATTCTTTAAATATGCCTCTAGCAAATGAATGGCTGCAATCCTTTACCATCTCTGAGAATCTCAATATTTATGAGATGCAGAACAGTTAGGGAATTATGCTATAGCCAGAAAGTTTGAAGTGGATGAAAGTTGTATCAGAGGCTGGAGGAAAAATCCTTCCTATAGTGTAACAATCATAGGCATATTTTTCATGAGCAAAAATCAGAATACCCAGTCATTGTATGAGGAAAAGTTTTTTTCATATTTTAATTAGAGGCAGCAATTTTGTTTTGCAGTGTGAAGTAGTAGATGCCGAAAGAAGACACAAAAAATACACGTGCCCATGCACACACATGGGGCTTCAGCCTTTTGACACAAGCTGAAGTTGGTTACAGAAATCTTTTAAATGAATAACTTTTTGTAAAACAGCAAATATGTATACAAGTATGGGTGAACCACATGCTATTTTCTGGTTGGATAGCAGCTCCCTTTTTCACTCCACCAATCAGCTTCCAAAAATGACCATTCACTACACATTCACCTTGAAGATGGCAATTGCAGTGTTTTCTGAAATGTTGGGTTATTCTTAACATTCAACATGGCTCATGCCCAAAAGCTGAGATTACATCACATTTCAGCTGCAGAAAGCAAAGAATAAGAATATTTATGTGTGGTTTCAAATTCTTCTAATTATATTGCATTACTATGCATACCAACAACAATGTGCTTTTATAACTTCAACAGCATGTAAAATACCTCCCATTTCCAAGCTACCTAAATATGAGGGAATACAACATAATTACTGTTATTGTATTTCTGGACACATCCATCAACTGGTATTTTGAAAGGAACAAAGCCGAGAAATAAAGTAAGTAATTTTAATATATCGTTAGAAGCCTTTAGAATTAAATGCATTAGTTCACACATATACCAAATGAAATTATACTGTATTTTATTCTATTATATGTATGTTTCATTTTCATGGTTACTGTCTTACACTTAATATTACATTAATCTTCTCTTTCAATTTTTTATCCCTACCCATCTTCCCCAGAATTTTAGCGAGCAAATCAAAACGAGACAGCTGGATTTTGAACAGCGGCCAGCTGCATTAGAGGAATTAGCATCTGTTCTACTTCTCACACGGAAGGCTGTGGATCAGTATAAATCTGGGGATGAGCGTTATTCTCATTTGGCAGAATCTGATATCCAGAAAGTTCAGCAGACTGCTGAACAAACACATAAGTGGTTGGAGGAGAAGCGAGCAGCACTAGTAGGCACACCCCGCACTCAGAATCCACCTATCACTGTGACGCAAATTAGACAAAGAAAGCAGGTAAGAGCACACAAAACCTGTTAATTGTTTACAGATGGGTAGTTCTTTGCTTGTGCAGGAATCAACATTGATGAATACCTTAAAGCAGTGGTTTCCAAACTAGGTGGCATGCACTGAAGCGGTACATAAAACATTGAATGTTGTTTGTTTGCTTATTTTTATTGAATGTTGTACATGAATGCTTCAAAACTGAACTACCAACTTGAGAAATTGTCTATATACTTATTTACCTCACAAAATCCATAGAAAGCAGTTCACATAGCAGTAATTATGCAGTCCATATGACTTATATTTAAGGGGCATTAGAATTTAATTTTTTCACGTGTTATTTTTAATTAAACCGACTCCCTTGCACTGTTAGTTGTTTTTCAACTGTATCAGTTTCTCTGGTTATCTCGTAGGTGAAGGCAGCACAATTTCCATGGGAGGCCATGGGGAAAATTGAGGATCAAATGTACTATATGTACATTTTCATGTATAACTACCAAAAAAATTCCAACTCTTCTCCACTTGTGATGATTGACATAAAACAGTGTATGGTGCATAAAATATTTTTTTGTATACAGTGGTGGTGTCACAAGAAGTTTGGGAATTGCTGCTATAAACAGTATAACGTTTGTGTGAATATAAAAGCGGGCGGCACAATCATCCTAAGTAGAATTCACCAGATTTTTCAGCAAGACTGACATGTCACAAGGGAAATCAAGGCATGCAAGATCCCTATTTGCATGTAAGGCATTATTCATCATAAATAATGTGTTTTATTCTTCTTGTAGACATTTGAAAACATCATAAATCCAATCCTGACAAAGCCAAAACCAAAGGCAGACCCACCTCCACCTGCCAACAAGGAAAATGGCAGCACACCAGAAAACAAAGATGGGCATGTAGACCACAGTCCGACACAGGAACAACAAAATGATGAGAAGATGGATGTAGAATAAATTATTATTAATATTATTAACATCATTATGAAGAATTGTTTGCTAGCAGGCTATTCACTACATGTATCTGATGAATTTTGTTTTGAAAATCTTGTTAGTATTGGATTTAAGTATATTCATTGTAATTTTATGTAACCACTGGTGGGTTACATTGTACTGTATGTAAGAAGTCAAGTGTTGAGTATTCAGGTTACGTTCATTGATACTATAATTGCACACTGAGTAACTTGTCAGTGCCTTCTTGTGGCACCTGTTAAATCACTTAGCATTCACTGTGTATATATAGATAATACACTGCATTAGGATTAACAGTGTATGCATAATATGTAAATGCCCAACAGAAGGTACTAGGGATATTCCACTTTACAGCTTTCATTCCATCTTTATTGAGAATGAATATGTTTGTCTTCAGTGCAAAGGAATATATTTTCCTTTTTTATGGATTTTTGTTTCAGTATGCCACAATTTGATAAGATAAATATTAATTGATTGGTGGGGAATTACCTTCACTAGAACAATAGTGGCCTCAAAATTGTATGCCACTACAGCTTCCTGCTTTGTCTTGCATAAAACCTGATATCCACTTTGTGCTCCAATGCCACATGTATCTCAGTGTTGGATTTTTACGTTCTTGGATGAATAATATTTATGGAGGAGGCAGAGAAAGCAAATTGCTTTCTGTCCTTCCACTAAGCAATTGAATTAGGTGTTCAATTTCCAAAGAAAAATGAGGTTTATTATAGCCATCTCAGTAAAGTTACACCTAAATTTTGCATTTAGTTGCCCAGCATTTGTGTATGTGCACATTCAGACTAAACACACACATTAGAATATTGAAGTATGTAATTTGAAATGGAGCATAATTCTGTAGCAGTTTGTTGCCATTTTGGTTCGGCTGTTGTATGTTGCATCCATTTAAAAAGATACAATTATAACATGTTTCAGTTATGATTTATGTAAAGACTTAAAATATTTCCTGCCTTGTATGTGATACTCTCTTTATTTTCATGTGAAATTCCCAGTTCCTTTACAGTATTTTTGTGATCTGTAGTTTTATCTCCGAGTGTCATTACAAAGTTAATGAATTTTGTTTTCTCTCTCAGAATTGGTAGGTGTCAGCAAGTGAAACCAGTCTTATCATGATCCTGCGGCTTTGTTATAATAGACTTGTAATTCTGCATTAACCCTTCACTATATTGGGATTCAAAAAAGTGCTTAATGTATGGTTTGGCAGATTGGGAGAGATAGGGCTGGATTGATGTTGCTAAACTTCCACTTTAACTTGACTGTCATGCTTTGTAATGCAAAAAAATACTGTGCAGCTGATCATGCTGTGAGTGATAAATATAAGTTTTTATTCTATATTACCTGAATATTATTCTACATGTTGGTCACCAGTTGATTCTCTACATAGTCTATCAGAATCAAACTCCAACTGATTGACAGGGATCACAGTGTCTCCACTACTAAAATCAGTATTTCCTCTGTACTTTCTTCAACAAGCCTCTGTATTGGTATTATATATTTTACCCTTTTTTGTGATGTCCCTTCGCTTGTGGCCATACCATATCAGCAAGATTGTGCTGGAAGTGATGAGTTACATCATTATGGATTTTGATGTAGTAGTCCAACCTAGAGCACCAGCAGCAGATCTGATTCCAGATATGTGATCTTACCCCTGCTTTTGCAAAGAATCTAAATAAACTCTGCTGGGCCATCCACTACACTTTCAATTGACCACCACTTTGAAAATAAACTTTTGTCAGACTTCACATGATGTGAGAGACCAGTATGGAAGATGTAAACATGTCAGATGAAATTTGTAGTGTGGAAAGAAATATTATTCTTCAAATAATTAATTGATAAAACAAATGAGTGCATAGTAAAACCAACATACATAAAATCCAATGTGATTAGGATCTAGCTTACCTGAATGAAGAACATCACTTCATTGCTGGAGAGGTTTCCTAAGCTGCAGTGATGGATGTATGGGTCTCTGAGTTTTACATCTGGTGATCATACTGAAATGATTGATATTCAACATTTGTCAGATGCTGTAAAAAATAGTACAGTAAGCCATTTTTCATCTAGCAGTATTGCCATATTATGTAGGTTAGTAGTGATGGGAATTACATTAGATATTTATAGACTTTAAGTAAGCTTGATTCTGGAATAAGTACTGTGCAACATTCTCATTGAACTTTATATACCAACAAATTGTTTATACTAATACAGACATGTTTAAATAAATTCTGTAGTGAAGGCTGTAGGTAAACATTCACTTCATGCCATACGTTTAGAGAGTAATGTGAAACAAAGACAATGTTTTATCAGTGTTGCTTCTCAACATTGTTTTTGAATATGCCTTTAGAATGATCGAAGAGAATCAGGAAGGATTAGAATTGAATGAGATGCATCATATTCTGTCTGTGCCATTGGAGTAATTTATTTGGTGAAAAACCATAAAGGGTATAAAAAATAAATTAGTAAATGTTTGTAAGGAGTTTGCTCCAGAAGTAAATATCATCACAATAAAGTTAAAGTAAAGCTTTTCCCATGTCTGTGCTTAGAGGGGGGAGAGGAGCTTTACTCATTCTTAACCTCTGAACTAGATGGGGTAAGTGTTCCCAGAAAAGTACCATGTTTTCCTTCATCCCAAAACGAGAATTTTGGAAGTTCATTAGTTCTCCTTTCCGTTTCGTTTCTGGACTGGTCGAAGAAAAATAGAAACTAGTTAAAATTACATTTCCCAGACTGGCTGCTTTCGACTCATGAAGTTAACCTTGGCAGTCGGTTTGCGTAATGATGCTGTCATCGCCTACTCTTGCATAATCTTATGAATGCTTATCCGAAATCCACGAAGGAGGATACTACAATGATCTAACAAAATATTGGGTTATTTGAAAGTCATGAATGTGTGTTCTCAGATAATCAGCTGACACTGACAAATATAGTTTCTGTTTCCGAGTGGTCGAAATCAGTTTATGTCTGCTTGAATGATATGTACTTTGTGTATTCACGTCCCATAGACAGTCTGATTTCTGGTTCCATCGAATATATGTAGTCGTGCGCGTGCATTGTCGTCCGTATTATCTGTGAACAGTAATATAGTTTAGGGTATGGTCAATGAGGGACATGTTGATGTTATGATCTTTGTTAAGTAGCTGGCTTTGCTTGCAACACACGTTCTTGAACGCAGTTTGTGCTTTACAGTGCCCCTTGATTGTAGTATGCAGATGTCATGTGGAATGTGCATGTGACTTGTCCTGGAACTGGAACGCATATTTTGTTATATTAATGGCGGCTATAATGCCAGATTCTGACAGTGAAGATGAGTTGCCGCCAGGATGGGAGGAAAGAGCGACAGTGGATGGTAGCGTCTATTATGTCAAGTGAGTTCGTTTCTAATGTCTCTTAGCTAATGCATGTTTGTGAAAATAGGCTACCCACGTTATAACTTCGAATTTTGAGTTTCGAAGTGAAATATAAGAGCGAGTTGTACTGTAATATAACAATTACTGGAGAGATGAAATTCCTTGTAGTAGAATATAAAATTTAGAAAAATACATTTCTTTAGGTAATTGATTTTAAATTTCAGATACATGCACATTCAAAGTATATCATTTGAATTAATTTAACTTGCAAAATGTGTGCATTTATTGCCTCCAATTTTTAATTTTTTAGTCATGCAACCAAAGGAACCCAGTGGACACATCCCAGGACTGGCAAGAAGAAGGTTGTGTCAGGAGGTAAAAAGTCATTGTATTATTAATATCTGTATATATTTTTCACTTTTGGGGATAAGCCGTGTTGAAGGTTTTCCATTGTTTCAGCAAACATTAGCAAAATCATCTTTGGGGTCAGGGTGTATTAGAGGGTTTAGGAAGCCTTACATAGACCAGGCAGTAGGTGACAAGTGGGATGTGTTGGTCATGATTGGCAGAACAGAGGAGCAGAGTACTGTCCAATCAGTTTTTGAAGAAGAGATGATGAAAGGTTTTAAGAGTCATGATGTGAACAAAGAAGTTTCGTGACCATGTGCTTTGAAGAGGAGGTGATGTGAAAGTTTTATTATTCTTGTGGTTAGGGGAAAGGGTAACAAATAGAAGTTTTAGCAACCACATGGCTAGGAGAAGAGGTGATGGAAATAATTTATGCCGACCACATAATTAGGGTTCTGGATTATGTTGGCTCATCAGCAAGGGCTGATCTAGAATGGACTTGGGGAAAGAGAACATGCAAATTTCCACTGTTTTCTGAATAAATGGAAAAATTGTTTTGATTATCTATTTATAATATAGGAAATATTTCTTCAGCAGTGTTCTGTACTTTACTTTTTAATATGGCACAACTATATATTTGTATTAAATTGACAGACTTACCATTTGGCTGGGAGAAGTGTGTGTCAGAAGATGGGAAAGTCTTCTATGTGGATCATGGCAACAGGCAAACAACTTACAGTGATCCCCGCCTGGCATTTGCTACTGAAGAAAAGGAATATGCCCAGGACTTCCGTCAGAGGTTTGATGGCTCTACAATGGCACTGCAAGTGTTGCATGGTCGAGACCTTGCAGGCAAAGTGGCAGTTGTGTCGGGTGCCAGTACAGGCATAGGTATGACTATAAACTGTGGACTAATTTATTAATCACTACTTTCTATATAAAACTTGACTAAATCAATTTAAGAGCTGGAAGCGGGTAGGGTTTGTATGTGTGTGTATGCACATGCATGTGTATGAACAGGTGCTCTCTACATGTTTTTGACTTAATGAATGCTTAGTTCACTGGATTACTTCAAACCAGTGGTTTCAGTATTGCTGTATGAATTACAACAGTTCTTTTGCATTTAATTTGTGAAGGGATTGTTATATAGGTTGAATGGACAAGGACTTGGTAGGAAATGGTTGTGATGTATTTCAGAGTGTTTCTGTAGAATTTGTCTGGAGGCACTTAGAAAGAAGAGTGAATATCAACATGCTTGAGCTGACCTAGTACAAGAAAATCTAAGGGTTGAATTGAATTATTGAGATCAGTTACTCATACCTGCATATAAAGCTGAGTGTGAAAATGTAAATACTATATTGATTTAGGAGATGAATTATGGAAGGAATGGATATACCGAGTAAGTTCATGATACATGCAAAGCTGTGCTGAAGAGTTTGTTTAATTAATAGGTGGTTGAACTATCTATCACTGGTCACTGAGTGAGAAAATTATAAAGAATTCCTGTCAATAATACCAGTAAATGTTTTGAAAATGTAAGGTCATAAAACTGCCTATGAATTTCATTATCAGATACCCATGAAACCATAAATGAAGTAAAAAGAAACTTCACTGTAAAAGTAAGTCACTTTCAGAAACCTGTGTTTCATGGAATTAGATGTTTTACTGTTATTTGCAGGTTTCTCTTATTATGTTTTAGCATTTTTTGTATTTCATACACTTCCTTATACAGGGTGTCCCAGGATGAAATGTCAGGACTTCATCAAAGAAATGTATCAACGTGGGTCTGATTAACAGTTACTGAGATAATGCAGCTCTCAACAGGTAGAGTTGGACTTGTTATGATTGGGACAGTGAGTTAGGTTATGTTCAGTCTGTGTTGTGTATTCAGAGTGTAAACAAGTAGGTGCATTGCAGTATTTGTTTTAGCATAACATTTCAAACAGTGCTGACAGTTTTCTAATTTGAAGAATACTGCAGACATGGTGTTTTTGTACAGAGGTGGTCACTTTGAAAAAATTCTGGATTAGTTTACTGGTATTTGGTACTTACCACAATTATCAATAAATAGTCGTCTAAAATCAGCTTTTTGTTATTTTGTTTATCCAAATGCAGAGACCTGCATATCTCAGTAACCATTATGAATCAGGCCCATGTTGATATAACATTTTTTATTTAGAATTGCCCCAAGAATCAACTGGTGAAGTCTTCACATTTCCTCCTGGGACATTCTGTATTATGTGATTCATTGCTGCATTAAACTCAAAATGTAATCATATTCACCAAAGCAGTCACTATACTAATTGCTGTTGCTTGCTTTGACATGAGTGTCTTATACCTGTATAACTTTTATTTCTGCACAGGATTTGAGACAGCTCGTTCTCTGGCATTGCACGGTTGCACTGTGGTGTTTGCTTGCCGAGATCTCATCAGAACACAGGCAGCCATTGATAGGATCAAGGATGAGAGAGCTAATGTGAAATGTGATGTTATTGAGCTGGACCTTGCAAGGCTGCGCAGTGTTAGGATTTTTGCTGAACACTTCAAACTAAACTACAAGTGAGGACCACCATTTTTAACCTTTAGGAATATCTCTGTTGTCCAGAAAAATGTGTGTTGTAGAATTCAGCAGTTACCATTTCAAGCCTGTTGAACTGATCTTAAACTTTCACAGCCATTCATTATTTATGTTGAACTTGCTTTTAGGTGTTTGCACTGTGTAGGAGTTGGCTTGTAGCTGATGTTTCAGAAGACCATACTGCTTCTATCATCAGTGGTGAAGTGAGAAAAGTCAGGAATTAGCTGGTTTATATCAGGATCAGGTCATGAGAATTGACCAATGATATGCAGGGATGAGGAATGAAGTGATGCAGCCACATCCAGGCCCA